ATCAATCTAAGTCATTCATAATTTGTCTACAGATGTATTTAGAAGAGTTCAAATATAAAAACACAGTCTACCAAGACCTGTGGAAGAACCTGCAAACGGTAAGTTTGTAACACTGAAATTTTTTTTATTTTTTAAAATATATTCATTCATTTGTTGGTTTATTTTATTTATTTATTTATTTATTTATTATTTAAATATGAAAATATGATTTAAAAAGGAAAATGTCTTATTATATTTATTTTATTATTAATTTGTCTTAAGACTATTAAAAGAATAACAACAGTAAGATGTTTCCTCATATGTCCTAATATAACTGGATCAATTATCCTCTGAAGCAAATTGTGTGATGGAGCCAAGAACTATGGGTATTGTAGTGAGTGGGACTATAGGGAGCATGGCTCAGTGTTAGCACTGTTGCCTCATCACAAGTGGGTCCTCAATTCTAACCCAGTCAGAAACCTTCTGTCTAGAGTTCTTGCAGGGTTTTTTATTCCAGCAACAAACATGCATACTTCTTTTTCTTTTACATTTCTGTTAAAACAGGAGGATGTTGATTTTAAAGATGGCCAAGTTTTAAAGAAAGAGGTCCATGTATGAACAAGTAATCCAACTAAGCTGAAAGATGTGGCTTCAGATTGCTTTAAACGCTCCACTTCAGTCAGTTTTTTCTTCTCTTGCGTCTGAATGTTAATGAGGTTATTTCAGGCACACTCAGAGTACAGACAACCCAACAATGTCATAATCAAAACTTTTGATTGTGTGGGGTAACCCATCAGAACAGAGTGAGTTCGAAGGCAGGGTATCCTTAAAGGTCCATTAACCCACCATATCAGTCGTGTTGAGCATAAACAGTTAGGGTGCCACATCTCTGTGGTGGTTTATACCTCTGCCTAATGGAAAGGTCCCTTGTTTGAAAAGAGGACAAGACACAAATGTTTTTGGAGTGTTTTGAGGGAAAGGCAAAAATCTGCCAAACTGGCTGTACTGCTGCAGTATTTGCCTGAATAACAGGTTTCGTGTGGAGCTGATGGTAGAGAAGGAGAAGATTACAAAAACTGAGAGGTGCACAGCCAAAACAACTCCAAAATGAGGCTTGTGCGTTGTGAGTATAATGGGTCCAAAACAGAGAGAAAACAAATTGTTTCAGACCGTGTTTCAGAACGTGAATGCGTTTCCCCAAGCCCCGCTATAAAATTAATTATGATTATTTTGAACTGTGAAACATGCGATGCTTCTCTAGGAGAATACACAAATACAAATGTTGTACAATTGGCCTCCTTACATTTCTGTATAAATAACATTAATGTTTCTACTATATTATAGCTTTCCACCCAGTTTAAAGGTACTTAAAAAATGCTGAACTAGTAACTTATACTTGGAAAAAATATCAAAAATATTCTTTGTTACTGACCATACTGAAATGTGAAAAGAAGCTGACACACAGATTGTTATACTAATTCGCTTGTTCTTGTTATCAGGCAGTGGATAATGCTGGCATACAGCTGCCCCACTCTGTGGAAGTGATTATGAACCGGTGGATCCTACAGATGGGATTCCCAGTGGTCACCATCGACACCAGTACTGGAAAAATCTCTCAGAAGCACTTCCTGTTGAACCCAGATTCTGTGGTGGACGTACCTTCAGAGTTCAAGTATGAACCTTTTTTTCATGTTTCATGAGCACATTTTTTAACATGTTCTGATCATGTCATGTTAAAGTCACCCGCTCTCTTCTCTCACCTTATTTACTTACATGTGTGTCTGGCTGATGTGGCTCCAGTTATGAGTGGTTTGTCCCGATTACCTGGATTAAGACTGGTGCAGCTAAAGATCAGTACTGGCTTCTTACCAAAGAAGGTGAGATTTACTGTGTTTCGGGTGACTGTAGTTTGGCAAAGATAAATTGATGAATAAATGATTAATTCGTTTTTAATCTTCACCCAAACAGCAACAAACCCAGACATGAAGATTGGTGCTAGTGAATGGTTGATAGCCAACATAGACATGAAGGGCTTTTATAGAGTAAATTATGATTCTGAAAACTGGGACCGTATCCTCACCAAGCTGAGCACCCAACATCAGGTATAACATCTA